CAAGGCTGGAAGAATGGCTCAGGGTGCGTGACAGGTCCAACTTCTGGCCCAGGGGACTCAGCAATTTCTGAAGCCATCCCGGATCCAGTGTAGAGCAGGGAGGTAAATGGGAGAGAAGTTTTTCCCTAAGGGGATGGGTGTTTTTGATCTGCGCAGTAGGCCAGTCACAACTACTTATCTTTTGCCAATCGCGGGCTGCTTCTCACTGGTTCAGAGTGGCCAAGTAGACTGTCTGCCACTGGGGTCTCTCACGATGTCGAAAACGCCTCCTGTGCGCCACTGCTTGCCTCTCTGCACACCACGAGCTGATCTGGCCTGAAGGGCTCCGGCTACCGCCAGGTCAGGTCTGGCAACTCCTCAGTACTTCTGAACCGTCTCTCCCTCCCACTGCCGGTCAGTCTGATTCCTCAACTTTGCCTTTGATGTTCAGGGCTCCTAGGTTGTGATATATAATTGATTCACTTGTTTTTTCAGGTCTTTGTTTAAGAGGAACCACTCGAAGCGTCTGACTACTCCGCCGTCTTGACACTGCCTCCCAACTGATTTTTGTGTGTTTATCTTCTAGCCTACTACTCTGCTGAATCTTTCTATTAGTTCTAGTAGTTTTCTTGTGGAGTCTTTCAGGTTTTCCATATATAGTATCATATCATCTGCAAATAAGGACAGTTTTACTTCTTCAGTACCAACTTGGATGCCCTTTATTTCTTTTTCTTGCCTTATTGCTCTAACTAGGACTTCCAGCACAGTGTTAAATAGGAGTGGTGATAAAGGACACCCTTGTCTTGTTCCTGTTCTCAAGAGGAATGTTTTCAGCTTCTTGGAGACCTTTTCTAAAAGATAAAAACTTGAGGACTCCCATGAATGTCTGTAGATCTAGGGATCCAAGGATTCTGTTTGTAGAAACATTATTACAAGTTAAGTGCTATCATTTTGAGTGATTATTTGGTGAAAATGTGATTTGAAGCACTAACACAGGTATGGACTCTGAACTCTTATGAGAGTATGTGACTATAAAGTGATTATGCAGATTACCCAGAATTTATTTTTGTTACTTTAAAAGGATATTATTGAAAATAACTGGTCCAATAATAATGATAAATGGAGAAAAGATTGAAGTTGTCAAGGATTTCATTTTACTTGGATCCACAATCAACACCCATGGAAGCATCATCAGGAAATCAAAGGACACATTGCTTTGCGCAAATCTACTGTAAAAGACCTCTTTAAAATGTTAATAAGCAAAGATATCACCTTAAAGACGAAAGTGCATCTGGCCCAAGTCACAGTGTTTTCAGTCTCATATGTGTACAAAAGGTGGACAGTGAGTAAGGAAGACCAAACAAGAATTGAAGCCTTTGAATTAAACGGTGTTGGCGAAGAATATTGAATATACTGTGGAATGTAAGAAGAATGAACAAATCTTTCTTGGAAGAAGTGCAGCCAGAATGTTGTTTTAGAAACAAGGATGGCGAGACTACTCCTCACATACTTTGGACATGTTATCAGGAGTGACCAGTCCCTTGAGAAGGACATCATGCTTGGTAAAGTAGAGGGTCAGTGAAAAAGAGGAAGACCATCAACGAGATGTATTGACACAATGGCTGCAACAATTGGCTCAGGCATAACAGCAATTGCAGGGATGGTTCAGGACTGGGCATTGTTTCATTCTGTTGTACATAGGGTCACTGTAAGTCAGAACTGACTCGATGGCACATAACAACAACATCATAAACCTTGTGAATGCCACGGATAAGTCCTCAAATTCCCATGTATCTGCTACATTGTCTGGGTGATTTTCTACACTTGAATCTTTTTTAATTTGTTGTTTATCCATGTCATTCTGTTACTTAGCTCTTTTACTATGTCTTAAAATTTGAAATCATATTTTTGACCTCTAGATTTCTGATGCTCGTTTCTGAATTATAATTTTTTCACCTTTTTTTTTTCCTGTTTGCTTTTTCTCACATGAATGGTCATCCTTGCTTTTCCAGTCTATTTCTGAATAAGGATTGTTTTGATTGGGTAGGTAGCATGTATTTTTCTCTAATTGTGTGGAATTATGTCTTTAACACGCTTCTTCCTTGAATAGTAAATTGGGCATTGAACTTTGCATATTGGCAGGGCTTGTCGGCAGATAGAATTCCCTTTAGGGTATGTAGAAGAGAAATAGACAGGCTTGTCATCCCCACAATCACCCAAGTAGAGGACCTATCCTTTTCTCCAAGATGGCATTGTTTTCTTTTCCTGGGTTTTTTTTTTTTTTTTCTCTTCTGAAGATTGTGTCATTATCTCTGGCTCTTTTGTCCTTTGTTTCAGGAACTCTTTCCTGGCAGATTATTTGTTGTGTTTAGAAACTATTTTTAAGGCTTTAGCCTGGGAGCAAATGCTTACTCCTCCAACTACTGCCCTCTGTCTGCAAGGAGGTTGTTTGCAGTCCTTTTATTAACTATCCTCACTCAGCCTTCTTCTGCTCTTTGTAGTCTTCAGCCTGGGCTTGGACGTTTGTCTGAGATCTGTTTAGTGCACTGCTTTCTATCTTCAGAGCAGCCTTCTCATAAGATTGCTTTAGGTTACTAATTTTTCTGCTCTTTTCTCCATCAGTCTGTCCCTTAATTGCATTCTTTGTTAGGGAAATTCCTCAGTTTTTTTGTTTTTAGCATTGCTAAGGACTTTTCTTTATTATTTGTCATTTTGGTGAGATTTTGGGAAGGAGAGAAGATAAATGCTTTTGTACCTTAACTTGAAGTCTTTTTTTTTTTTCTAAGTATGGAGAATTATTTTTATTAAAAAAACTTTTATAATGGAAAAATTCAAGCATAATAGAAATAGACTGGTCTAATAAACTATTATGTACCTGTCACTCAATCTCAGTTATTACTAACTCAAGGCTAATATGATTTCTTTTTCTTCCCTTATTTTGAAGCAGATCTCAGACAACATATAATTTCAGCTGTAAGTACTTCAACAGAGAAATCTAAAATATAGGGATTCTTTTTTTTTTTTTTTAATATAATTATACCATTATCACACCTAAAGAAAAAAGAATGATTCCTTAATGTCATTAAATACCCATTGTTCACATTTTTCCAGTCATATTTTCTTAGTTTGTTTGAATCTGTATTTAAATAAAGTTCATATATAGTGATTAGTTGATATATAGCTTAACTCTCTTAGACTGTAAGTTCTCTCTCTCTCTTTTTGCTTGCTATTTGTTGTTGTTACTGCTGTTAAAGAAGCCGGATTGTTCTGTTGAGTTTCTTACAGTCTGGATTTTACAGAATCTTCCTTTTGTGCTTTTAGTATCTTTCTCTGCCCTCTGTAGTGCCTGTAAATTGATAGTTAAATGTCAGCGTTGATTAGATTCATGTTTTGGGGGTTTTGTTTGTTTTGTCGGATTACTTCATAGGTGGTGATGTTTGTTTCCATCGGAGGTACATAGTGTCTGTCTCTTTTTGTATTATTAGCAGCTGTCATGGATTGAATTATGTCCCCCAAAATATGTGTATATCAGTTTGGCTGGGCCATGATTCCTGGTACTGTGTGATTTTCCTGTATGTTGTAAATCCTGCCTCTATGATGTTAATGAGGGAGGATGGGTGGCAGTTGTGTTAGTAAGGCAGGACTGGATCTATAAGACTGGATTGTGTCCTGAGGCAATCTCTTGAGATATAAAAGACAGAAGTGAGCAGTGAGACAGGGGGACCTCGTACCATCTAGAAAGCAGTGCTGGGAGCATAGCGCGTCCTTTGGACTGGGGTCCCCATGCAGAGAAGCTTCTAGTCCGGGGGAACACTGATGAGAAGGCCAACAGAGAGAGAAAGACTTCCCCTGGAGCTGACACTCTGAATTTGGACTTTTAGCCTTCTTTGACTGTGAGGAAATAAACTTCTCTTCATTTAAACCAACCACTTGTGGTGTTTCTGTTATAGCAGCACTAGATGACTAAGACAGCAGCCATTGATGATCATTGCCTGGATTAATTTATTACAAGTAGAATTATTTTATTTTGGGTTTTGTGCATTACAAATTCAACAAAATGTTTTGGAAATTCAAAAAAACGGTTTACATAGGCTGTATCTGTTATTGCTACAATTGCCTTAAGGTTCTGCATATCTTATTTTAATTATGAAACTAATATTTGAGGCCCTGCTTTCAGCAAAGTCCTATCGATGAGTGTCTTAGGGTTCTCCAGAGAAACAGAACTATTAAGATATATGTATGTATATGTGTGTGTGTGTGTGTGTATATATATATATAATATATATGTGTAAATATACACACATATGTGGTATGTATATGTATCTTTATATATATACAATGTATGTGTGTGTGTATGTGTTCATGTACATATTCTCCTATGTATAGATAATATATAAAACCAAAAAAAAACAAACCTGTGGCCGTCGAGTTGATTCCAACTCATAGCAACCCTATAGGACAGGGTAGAACTGCCCCACAGAGTTTCCAAGGAGCACCTGGTGGATTCGAACTGCTGACCTCTTGGTTAGCAGCCGTAGCACTTAACTGCTAGGTCACCAGGGTTTCCAGATAATATATAAAGATATTTGTTTTAAGGAATTAGCTCATGTGATTGTGGGAGCTGGCAAGTCGAAAATTCATAGCTCAGGCAATAGGCTGGAAACTTTGGCAGTCTTGTGTCTAAAATCAGTAGCTGGAAATTCTGGCAAGATGTCTATCTACAATCTTCCCTTGGGGAATCTCAGTTTTTGCTCTTAAAGCCTTCAACTGATTGGATGAGGCCCACCCACATTGTCGAGGATAACCTGCTTTACTTAAGGTCAACTGATTTAAATGTTAATCACATGTAAATACGTTCATAGTGACATCAAGACTAGTGTTTGATCAAACAACTAGACACCATAGCCTAGCCAAGTGGACACATAAAATTAACTATCACAATGGGATATAGCAGATAAAGCTCCAGCTGTTTCTATGTTGTCCTTTTAAAATACTTTACTTTTTCCCCCTGCTATTTGTAGAGCCTTTTAGAAGATCCTTATCCAGTGGTCCGTTCCACAGGGATCCTTGGTGTTTGTAAAATAACGTCCAAATACTGGGAAATGATGCCTCCAACCATTCTTATTGATCTTCTAAAGAAAGTAACTGGGGAACTAGCTTTTGATACAAGCTCAGCTGAAGTTCGTTGTTCTGTCTTTAAGGTAAGATTTTCTATATAAGCAATATTGATTCATAGTAGAATTGTTGGAGAATATAGAGAAGAAAAAAATGACTTTAAAAAAAACCACCCATAATTTTACCACATAGATAGAACCGCTATTAACCTTCTGTTTTATATCAGATTGTGCTCTTAGTGGGTTGAACTTACGACCTTGATGGTAAGGGAACTGTGATCTAATCCAATGGTTCTGTAATTTTGATGGGTATCAGAATCACCTGAGGAACTTGGCAGATGCATAGAAGACACACACCTTCCCCTACTTCAGTGAGCCTGACCTCTGTTTCTGTTAGCTCTCGAGGTCATTCTGATGCACACAGGTTTGAGAACCACTGATCAGTGTGGCAACATAATAAGGCCCACTTTGGGTTTCTTTATTGTCTTTCCAGGTAGTATTTATGCTTTGTATAGCACCTTGTACATATAACATATTTGGATTTATTTGAGTGATTTTTTTTTTAATAACTCCCCACCCCATCACCAGCAATAGTAACTGAAGCTTTGCAAGAATAGCTCACATTATTTTTTAATCAACCTGAACCAAGTTGGTACATTGAAATTATAGTTTGGACTTTAGTTGGTAGTGGAGAATGGTCTGTTTTTTTTTTTTTTTTTTTTTTTTTTTTTTTTTTTTTTTTAACTTTGCCAATAGAAGTGTGTAGATGTGGTAGAGAGCCAGAGAGAAGATTACCAAGGCTAAAATGGTGAATCCTCTTGGAAGTTGTGTTTGGTGTATCTTTAAGAGGGGAGCTATAAAAGAGACAAATGTAAAGACTTTTCCTGAGGGCCTCTGAGACTAGTGAAAAAAAAGTGATCTCGCTTTCCCACTGCTTGAAACAACCATTTAAAACCTTCTACCTCCCATGCATACAAAGCAGATGACCTTCTCTTCCTTCACATGGAAAACACATTTTGAGAGAGGCTCTACTTTGGCCTTTCACTGCCAAACACCTGTGCTCCTCCCTCCTTTCTGTTAGAAGGCAGGGGCTACTTGTATCTGCCCCTCCCACCTTGTCAGGAACCTCTCTGATTTATTATCATTTTTGGTTTGTTTGTTTGTGTTTGTTTGTGTTTGTTTTGGTGAGTGTTCAGCCTCTCCCTCTCAGCAGCATGCTTCCTGTGTCTTTGTAAACATTTCAAATCTCTACCTAAAAACAAATAAAAATCTTCCCTTGGCTTTACATTCAGATGCAGATACCAGCCCTCTCTCTTCTCTTTGCAGTAGAACTTTTGTAAAGGTGGTCTGTATTTTGTTGGGTTAACATATGTTCTGGCTGTGCCTATTGCTCTGCAGTAATTGTTAGTAGCAGTCTTTTTACCCTCAGAAGAATGCCTGTTTAGATGTTAAATTATATGGTCACCTAAATATTCTGTCTCCATTTCATTATGGATTCTATAACCCACCATTCCCTAATGATCTTCTAGGTCCATTACTCCAATAAAACATTTCTAGCTAAACTCCTGGTGTCCCCTTTAATATGAATTTCACATGACTATTTTGCTATTCTTTTGTTAATCTCTGAGCAGCATTTTACCCTAGACCATTCCCTTAGCTTACACAAAGCTTACTTTTCCTCTCTGTCCTTCTGGACGTTATAAACCCTCAGTGATGCCCCTCCTCCCCCAATTCCTCTTATGCTTTAAACATTGGCCTAAGGCAGAGCTCTGAGGAATGCCACCTTCTTATTTCACTGTGATAGGCTCAACCTAGGCAATCTAATTCACAGTCTTGACTTTAACTGCAACTGTATGCAGTTGACCCCAGTTTATAGACAACTGTTTACTTGAGATCTTCATTTGGGTGACTCTCAGGTACCTCAGATGGAATATCTGTTTCAGGTTAGGTTCCTGGGAAGCCAACTCTGAGATGGATATTAGGGTACAAGACATTGATTTAGGGAAGTACTCCTGGGATCAACACCTTTGGAAGGGGGAGAAGGAAACAGAATTGGGCAAAAGGAAAAGTTAAGCTGTGGAACAATCCCAGTGAAGACTCAGGCAGCCTCATGGGAGCTCTGGAGCTAGCATAGCCCTTCAGACTTGTCTCAGCTTGGCATAAGGGACCAGATCTTTATACCCTACGGTGATGTGTTGAATACAAGCAACATGATCCTCCCCAAAGGAGGTATAACCTTGGAGGTAGTTTTCTTCAGTAAGGCCATCCCCAAAGCAGGCTGACAGCTGAGGGCCACTTTCTGGCAGCACTATCGATAGCTGGGGGAATAAACTATTCCTTACAGGGGATCCCAGTGACTGTGATGCATCTACAGCCATTGTTATCTCTAGTAGCGAATTTCTTATCTTCTTCCCCAAACCTGCCACTACTCCAGAGGGTGATGTGATACTTCTTTCTCTTTCACCCCTTCCCTCCTCTTCTCTCTTTGATGTGGTAATGCCATCTGCTAAATTGCTTAAGAAAGCTGAATGATATTATTTCTTCTTTTCCCCCCACTCCTACAACTAAGTCTTATCCATTTTTTCTCCCGAGAATTCTCTGAAATGTGCCAACTTGTCTCCATCTCACTGTTCTAATCCAGACAGTTAGCGTCTCTCATGTGGATTGCTGCAGTAACCTAACAATCTAAGTATCAAAAGGGGCCAAATAGGTAATTTGTGAGGAGGAACAGATGGGGCCCTTGGGTAGAAGAGGAGTAAGCAAAAGTCTGCAAAGGAAAGGGCAGAGAAATAGAGGGAAAATTAGGAGAATGTGATGTTATGTAAGCCAAGGGAGGAGTGTTTCAAAAAGAAGTAAGTAAAGTAGGACTGAAAAGGGTGTGTTGGTTTTAACAAGATGGAGGTTGTTGGTGCCTTTAGTCAGAGTGGTGGGAGCAGTTCTAGTTTGGAGCAGATGAGGCAGTAGAGATAGCTGGTGTAGGCAGGTGAATCTAACCAGACCGTCCTTTGGTACAGTGTTTTAGAACAGTTGTTGTATGTACTTTCAGAAAATTTGTTTTAAGTTGCACAGTAAAATTGACTTTTTTTTTTTGTGGATGTACTTTTAATAACCCATTAAAATATCCTTTCTCCTAATAACTGGAAAGAGAAGGTGTAGTAGACCTTAAGGAGTGCTGGACCTAGTATCTTAAGACCTGAGCTCCAGTTCTTCCTTTGTATGAACTTGGACAGATCATTTAACCTCTTTTTCCTGTAAAGGAACATTAAATGCCAATCTAAAGTACTATGTGAGAACAATCACGTGTGACTGTACAAGTGTAACAAAAACGGATTGCTGTGCAGCCTCTGGTTCTCACTCAGTATACCATGAACATTCTGTCGTGCCGGTAAATACAGATAATGTGTAGGCTTTTAAAAAAAAAAAGCCTTGGACCCCAACTTCAGATGCAGCTGGATTTAGAGACCACTCTACCAGCCATTGTTTGTTGTTCCATGTTTCTTTCAACTCTGAAAACCTAAAATTTAGCTAAGCGAAAGCTTGAGTATTTTGTTTATAATTGCTTTAATCTTATTTGAACAAAACAAGGAATGAACTGATTATCAGACATTGAAACTATATCAGTTTATTAGCAAATTGCTTTTTATATGAAACTTTTAGAAAAATGTGCTTTCTGTAGGTATGTTTATCTCACTAATATAGTTCTTGTAAAGATGGAACTGAATGTTTTCTTAACTGAATTTTTCTTAAATTTTTCATTGGCATGTTCTAGTTTTGAACTGTTTATCTTTCTCTTTTGTTGTAGTGTCTGCCAATACTTTTGGATAATAAACTAAGCCACCCATTATTAGAACAGCTTTTGCCAACGCTAAAATACAGTCTCCATGACAATTCTGAGAAAGTGAGAGTGGCTTTTGTTGATATGCTGCTGAAAGTTAAAGCTGTGAGAGCTGCTAAGGTGGGATAAATAGAATGTTTCTTATTTCAGACATGAAATAAGTACGTTGTTCTCATCAAACAGACAAGCAATTTTAATTGTAAGAGTTTCGGTAATTATGTTTTCAACAAACCAGTAACTGATGTAATTTAACCAATTGTTTGCATCATAAATTTTTGTTGTGTGTTTTTCATTAAAAATTCTAGAAATATCAGAGTGTGTGTGTTTGTGTGTGTGTTTTAAAGACATTAATGTAAGTAAGCAACCCCTACCTTACATTGTATTTTTTTCTTATGTATGAAAGTTTTTGTTAAAATAGTTGATGAAATATTTAAATGCTTGGCACATATTGAGTACTTGGAAGAATGTTGATTATGACCTTTCCCTCCCCCCTACATTTTACAAAAGGAAGCCAGCAGATATTTGCTGTGTAATAAATATACATTTTGGCATCCTATTGTAGTGAAACTGTTCTCTTTAATTCTATTCAACTTTTGGCTAAAAATGTTAATTATGATGTTTTTAATTTTATGTTTTTTGATAAAACTAAACTTTCTTCCTCCACAGAATAGTTTTCTAAAATTTACTATAAAAATGTTTTGTCATGGCAAAGGATTTGGAAACAACCTGTAATTTTCATCAGTATAGCATCAGTTACATAAATTTTTGGTGCATTCATGTAACTCTAGAAAAGAATGAGGAGAAGCATTTTATGATGCTTACATGACAATACCTCTAAGATATATAAGTATAAAAACAAGGTGTAGAAGTGTATATAGTATGCTATCAGCTATATAAACTGGGAAATATATATGTGTGTGTGTGTGTGTGTGTGTGTGTGTGTGTGTGTGTACCAGGCAGGACAGAGTGACAAAGTTCTTATGACTGACTGGAGAGTTTGGATTTTAAAAGTATAGAGGCAAGAGCAGAGAAGGAAAGCATAATCGTGTGGCGTTTATTTATCTATTTATTTTGAAGATTGGAGTGACATGAACATATTTAAATGCTGATGGAAGGGATCCAGTTGAAAATACTATATAGGGGATAACCATTAGAGCAAGTTCCTTGAGGAAAATGCAAGGTCAATGATATTATCCCCATTTTACAGATGAAGAAACTAGTTTAGAGTATATTTTCACAAGATTACCGGTTGAAACAGGAGTTGAACATTCTCCCATTAAAATCTGTTTTCTTTCACTTACTCTAATATATTTTAAAAATATAATATTTTTCTCTTCAATTTCTTGCTTAGAAGTTTGGTCCCTACTCTGTAGGCACCTGTGAATGCTTCTGAGTAAAGGAACAGTATGGTCAGTTCTTCTTTATGCAGGTTATCTAGCAGCGGGGCATAAAGTGCACTAGAGAAGGGAGTAATAGGAGCAGAGAGACCAGGTATCGTGATCAGCTAGGCTGGATGCTGGAGAGAGTCTGCCTAATGCAGTGGCATTGATAGGGAAAGGAGTGGGGTGATGCAAGAGAAAATGTAGCTCTATCCTGAATGGGACCGGTAACCAGTGGGATGTTGGATAAATTTTATTCAGAAGTGCCTGGCAAAAGAGTGATGCTTTTGTGTCTTTAAGGTAGACAGCGTGGTATTACACTTTAGTTTTCTATGTCAAAACTCTGTTACAATTTTTTTTTACTCACTTTTCATATTAATGGGTCCAAAGTTATGCCGTTTTAAGAAATTTGAAAGTTATTACACTGATAATAATAGCTATCATTTGAGTTTACTATGTATCAAGCATGATGCTAATTAATTCCCCCAACAACTTTATACTTAGGTACCTAATATTCAGGTACACTTTATAAATTCTAATTTCTTTACAGAAAATTCACAGATTCTGGTATAGTAATTTGAAATGAATTCTCAAACATTAAAATCTTTTTTTTTTTTTTTTTTTTTTTGGTTATGTTTTGGAAATTTTGTTTAAAATGTTTTCAAGATTATAGGAACTTTTTTTTATGCATATATGCTTTATATACAGTTTTGGAAAATATGCCCTATGGAACATATTTTGGTTCGTCTGGAAACTGATTCTCGGCCTGTGACTCGGCGCCTGGTAAACCTCGTCTTCAGCTCTTTCCTGCCTGTGAATCAGCCAGAGGAAGTGTGGTGTGAGCGCTGTGTCACCCTGATCCAGATGAACCATGCAGCTGCCAGGAGGTTCTATCAGTATGCCCATGAACACACTGCCTGCACTAACATAGGTATGGGACTCTGCTGGTTCTCAAGTTTTGTTTTTTTTCTTTCTAAAGCAGAATTGATATCATATATGTTCAGTATTTGTCATTTAAATAAGCTTCATGCTTTGTGGCATTTCTTAATGATTTCCCTTAAAATCTTTTAATTATTTGAGGTTATAATTTTAACTATTAGAAAGATAATTTTGTTGGAGAAACATATAAATTGATTAGTGATTATCTTAAAAATTCTAGCAAAGCTGATTCATGTTATCCGTCGTTGCTTAAATGCCTGCATCCACAAAGCAATAAGAGAGTATCAAGAGGAGGATGAAGAGAGGGAAAAGGAGAACGTGAGTGTAAGTAGAATGTAATACTAAGCCTAGGGAAGAAACTGGAGGGAATTTACTTCAATGAATTTAAGGTAGGGTACTTTTCCCTCATGTTATTTAGAGAAAGACAAAACTTTAAAGTTTCATTTCCATTGACTGTTATGTTAGGACTGTTTTTATTTTCCATTTATCTAATTATTTTAGAAGATCATGAAAATGAAAACTTGTCATATATTCTTTTTAGTTTATGTTAGCTTTCTAATAGGATTTAATGCAGATGAAAAATTATTATTGGTAACACCTTTCCCCAAATTATCTTTGCCTGAAACTTTCCTACGTATTTTATTTCAGCCTAGGTATAGCATAATTCAGAGCCCTGGTGGCACAGTGGTTAAGAGCTCGGCTGCTAACCGAAAGGTCGGCAGTTGGAATCCACCAGCTGCTCCTTGGAAACCCTACGGGGCAGTTCTACCCTGTCCTTTAGGGTTGCTTTGAGTCAGAATAGACATGATGGCAACAGGTTTGGTTTTTGGGGTTTTTTATAGCATGATTGGATTGGGTTCTGGAAGTTATCATTTTATAGTTAGATGAGTGGTGATGCTCCTGAGAATTTACTCAAAAATGTGGTGAGATTCTACTAGAAATGTTTCGAGGTTGAATTCTGTGAATGAGAGCTGTATTTAGAATTGTCTTTTTAAAAGTGTATTTTACAAAAGAAACTGTTTAACTGCTATTTCTTCAGAATCCAAAATGACTAATTATATCATTCTTATAAACAATATCTTAAACTTACAAACAGACTCTTACGTATGTATAAAGTAAAATTTTGGAGTAGCGTATAGTGCCCAACTAAATTAGAAAACTGATTTTTAAAAAATCAAAAAAAAATTTACTGTTTTGGTGAAATACAGTACGAGTATGTTAACTACAAAGTAAAATCAAATTGCCTTACTCTTGAGGCTTTTCTTAATCTAATCTCAACTGAACTTTGTTCCTGTATCTCTGGCACAGGCTTTGGCCTCTTGGGAATGGCCTTACAAAACGTTTTCCCAGTGAGGAAAACGTTTATTCCTTGTGGATTTATTCTTTATTGGTGCCATGTCTGCCTATCCCCATGTAAAGGAGCACAGGAGTGACTCCAGCAGACCTCTCACCCTCGTGCACACCTCCACTCGATTGGCGGCACTTTGATGAGATCGTCACTGCTACACCATGCCTAGCCCTAGAAGGGATTTGCTCTGTTTAAATGTTTCCTTTTCTTTTTGTCTTTTCAGATAGTTAAGCAAGACTGAAATTGTTCAAAAAGAACTTTACTGAAAAAGCAAGGGAAAACAGAAGTGGAATAAACAGAGGAAAGAGCATAAAAGGAATTTATCTTAACATAGCTTAACTCTGACTAGAGGTTTCTATCAGTTTTATAGGCTCCAGGTTGTTTTTTCAGCCTAGTTTTAGGAAAATCTAATCTGAGAGCATTTGAATTGCTTCTGTGCTTAGTTCTGGTGGAATTTGAGTTCTTCCTTTTCAGGACTTTTCCCTCAAAGTACGAATTGGGTGGCAGAATTTTTCCAGGAAGTGATACCATTGCTGCTAACATATCTTAGGAAACCTTAGCTGGAGATGCTAGGATAGTGATTTTCAGTCCTTTTAAACAGGGGTACTATGCAGAACTTCAATATATGAAGCAGATTAAGGTGATGAACAATAAATTGAATGTACTGTACTAAGGAGAAACTAATCTGTTCTGAACCCTCCTCACAAACTCATACTGATAATGGAAATGTTTTTGCAAAGGACCAGAACATATTTTGTAATATGGTAGTTAAGAAGCTATTAATTTTTTAAATATTGAAACAATCCTTCACCCTCATTATTAATAACCTAGAAGTTACTGAGAAAGCTTGCATTTTATAACATTTCAAGTCAATTTCTGCACCATTAGAAAGAAATGGATTTAGAAATATGTAGCTATATTGTAACCTATGCTAGAAAAAATATAATTTTACATATAGTTATTCTTAGTCTAAGAATATATAGCTGAAAGCAAAACTTTTTAAAGTTGCTTTTACTTTTTCTCATTGCCGTCTACTGAAAACCAAAGATATTCTTTGCTAAAATAAAACGTTGGCTTCATACTTAATGAAATATTACTTAGGAGTTCAGCACACTTTTCAAATTATATCTATAAAGAAGAAATGGTATTTTTCTCATGAAACATTAACGATAAGGCTGCTGTACTAAACACTGGAACAGTAAAAGTAAGATTAAGTACAGGATGAAAAATTTTTTATCAATCTGTTATTTGTATAGTTTTTCTAGTAATCTCTAAGCCTTTGGCAATTTCATTGCTTTTTAAATTTGATTGGCCATAATTCATTTCAAAACATTAGTGCCTATTGAAATATCTAACTTTATATAGAAGCTGCCTTTACTTTTTCTGTGTACACTCATTGATCAAATTTATTTTCCTCCTGGTATCTTTTTCCATTGCACTTGAGTAGATAGCACAAAAATACCAACCCTGAAATGAACTATCTTTTGCATTTCAAGGTAGTCTCCTTCCAGAAATTGTCTATATTGGTTGTTTAGCAAATTATTAGACTGTCTTTGTTATAGTCACATGACAGGTCTCGTCAATAGGATTGTTAGCATATCAAATCAGTGCGTGTTTGTACTGATCTACGATGGGCATTTCTGGTTACTTATATACATCCATAATGCACATGTAAAGTGTAACCTGCAGTGGATTCCTGGTTGTAGTTTGGGGCCTCCAGCTCTGTGTATAAGAGGAGTTTGCTAGAGTGAATTTGTGATTTAATAGATCTGTTTAGACTGAACAGTCAAGTAAGCGGTTATTATGTACTACCAGCATAAGTTCAGGAAAATATATATAGGTATATTTATTTTGAAACAAAGTAAAGAACCTATGATTGGGTTGTAGTTGATCACAATCAGCCGTTAATATCAGAGCCTCTAAAGCTGTATTCTGCCAGGCCCAATAGAATAAAGATGGTTGGCCACAGAGCTATGTAGTAGAGCTATGTAGTGTATGTGATCTGATAGGTTGAGTTTTTGTATCTATAATAGTAATCACATTTAAGAAAATTAGATTTTATAATCTTTTTCTCCCCAGTCTGTTCACATTGTTGTTTGTGGTGAAAAGTAATATCTTACTTTAACAAACCAAGAGATACAGTAAGAGAAAACGCTGCTTTTTACTGGTGTGTTATGTTCCTTAGCCTGATAAACTATATGAAGACAATAGTTTAAACATTTTTATTTTTAGAGGACTTTAAATTCATATAAAGTGTTCCTTAAAGGATGTAGGGTTATTTTAGAGTTTATTTCTTGGATGGGCTTTTAAAAATAACAGATTTACCTATAGTCGAGATTCTTAAATAGAGAATAAAGTAATATTATGACATAAAATAGACTGGATATCCTTTATGTTACAGTTTTAGATCTATAATTCTGAAATGTGCTATTAAAGATAATGCTGTTATCTTTTGATAGTTGTCATACTTTGATTCTTTCACAGTAAAGTTACTTGTATCTCAGGTTCTGGACCAAACACTGTCAGTAAATGATGTTGCATCCATGGCGGGTTTATTAGAAATCATTGTAATTCTCTGGAAAAGTATTACTAGAAGTATGGAAAGTAATAAAGAAGCCAAAGTTTACACCATTAACAAGTTTGCCACTGTGCTTCCACAGTATCTTAAAGTATTTACGGTAAGCATTGAACTACACTTGGTAGGTGTAAGCAAGGTATGTTAGGATTTCATTTGTTTAGAATTTAGCAAAAGTTTTTGAACATGTTTACCTCTCTGGATTGTTTCCTCATCTGTAAAATGAGTAACCTGAACTAGCACTACCTTGTTGTATAATTAGTCTCTTACCCTTCATGAGGGTAGAGAGCTTGTATCTTTCTGTTTCAAATCGCCAGCACTCAGAAATGTCTTATGTGAGCATTCAATTTTTCTATGTCTGATTGTGTGTGACACTGTTTTAGAGTCTAATTTGATTTGCTGGGATTTGAGAAAGAGGATTTTGTGACCATGAAGATAAAGTAGCATCTACGTTTTGTGGGTAGTTAGGCATTTGACAGCATGCTATAAACAAATAACTCCCTGTAAGTATTTGAGTTGTGTTTGTTATGGGGGAAAACAAAATCAAGTATATAATTTCTTGGATTTAGATGAAGAAAGCCTTTTCATTCCTTGACATTTTACGTCTGAAGGAAGTTCATATTTCAAAACCAAATACAAAAAAGGACTAAAGGCTAAAAATGCAGATTTATTCCCAGTTAAAGAAAGCACCCCCATTATCCTAAATTTTACTCTTGGCTCTTGTGCTAGTTCCTTACATGGGACCTTGGAGCACTTAGCTTTTCTGAGCCTTGTTTCTGTAACTGTCAAGTCTCTAAGCATCGTTCTGCCTCTGAAGTGAAAACATGTCATACCCATGAGGGTAACTAATATAATCTGCCGAATTTACTAGTACATTTAAGAACTTAACTAATTACGTTGGGTTGAGAAACGAACATCATGTCAAAATTCTCAAAAGATAAAGAAGCCCACAGGGCATTGAGATAATAGATGAGCAGGGTAGCCTGGGGTATCTAGGAACTTGGGAAAGGCAATTAATTCTGTAAAAGAATCACTTTCTATCCTCCATAGCTCAGGGAATATTGTGGGTGTCATAGAAGTAAATAACGAATAAGCCACATATAAAGTGGAATCAGCAATGATTATCAGTTTACTTTCAGCACTGGGAAAATATTTGCTTTCTTTATTGGGAGGGGATAAGGATGAAGGCACTGTAACTGATGCAAAATAACTACGGATTAAATGTTAATTTTCCTTTTGTTTCTGTTTCATTTCTATTTTAAAGAAAGTTGTTCCTGCTTTCTCCTTGATCTAATCTGAACTATTAATGACTTTACTCTTGTAATAATAATAATAAAGCTGAAATGTATTAAGCACTTAACATATACTAGGTACTGCAGTGGAGTTTTATGTGGTTCTTCCAACAACCCTGTGCCTATTTTGCAGAGAGTTTAACCAATTTTCTCTGTGTTGCACTAGCTAGTTAGATTGTAGAATCTGATTTGGATTCAGGTTTGGCTGGATAGCTCCAAACCCTGTATATTTTCCATTAAACTATACTGTCTTCCTGAAGATATTCTAATTAGTTGTATAAAATTCTCTAAATATTTGTTCTCTTGAAATTTATGTTCAGGATAATGAGTGTATGGGGTTAAATTTTTTTCTTTCAGTAGAATTGTTTTAAAAATAGATGTCCATTCCATGACAGCAGGGGATTTTGTCTATTTTGATTACTGATAGATCTCTAGGATTTAGACTGGTGCCTGTACAGTAGGTGCTTAATAAATATTTGCATAAAATACATACAGTATTGTTATGTAAAACTTTGAGAATACTTATCAAGTAATCTTCTCTACTCCTCAGAAATATGGTTTAAATTTTTCTTTGAATGTTAGAAGAGTTACTATTAGTTTTGCTAGACAACTTTGAAAATGAGTTATTAGGAAGTTATATGGAGAGGCTTTCAAACTTTCATATTATTTAAATATACCTTTTTGTTTTCCTTTTTATGCTTTTAGGATGATCGCTGTAAGACTCCTGTATTTATGCTAATGTCCTTTGTGCCAGCCTCTGCTGTCCCTCCCTTCAGGTATTATCTGTATTTTTTCAGTAAAATGGTGAAGTGGGAATTTTAATCATTGTTGTGCTTAATAGTTACTTTAAAATTCAGCAGAATACCATGTCAAATTTTAACTGTATGTTAATGGCTGCTTATGCAGTTTATCAGCTGCTTCTTTCCTTCTCCCTGTGATAAGGAAAACCTCAGGTTGCAAGTTTTCAGTGGCCTCTATAGTTACTAAGTAATAAAAGAAGAAACTGTGGGACTTAAACTATTATTCCATTTTAAAATGGGAGGATTGTTTTATGAAGCCTGGGTTAAGGATACTCTAGAGCTGCACTGTCCAGTAGGGTAGCTGCTAACCACGTGTGCATACTGAGCACTTGAAACAGGTTGGTCTGAGTTGAGATGTGCTTTAAGTCGGAGCTTCACAGAATTCAAAGACTTGGTATGAAAAGAAGAAGAATAAGACATCTCAATAGTTATTGATTACATGTTAAAATGATAATATTTTAGAAAACCAAAAAAAAAAACTAAACCCATTGCCAGCAAGTCAATTCCGACTCATAGCAACCCTATAGGACAGGCTAGAGTTGCAGCCGAGCTCTTAACCACTAAGCCACCAGGGCTCCAAAGTTAATCATCTGTGGATGTGCCAGGGATCGAACCCGGGATGTCATACATGCAAAGCATGCACTCTATTACTGAGCTACACCCCCAGACAACTATTCCAACTCATAGTGACTCCATATGGTTTCCAAGGCTGTTAATCTTTATGGAAGCAGACTGCCACATCTTTCTCCTGTGGAGCTGCTGGTGGTTTTGAACTGCCGACCTTTCAGTTATCAGTTGATTGCTTTAATCACTATGCCGCCAGGGCTCAACTTATTTTAGATCAGTTGAGTTTAATCAGATATATTATTAAAATTAATTTCACCTGCTTCTTTTTATGTTTTTAAATATGGCTATTAGAAAATTTTAAGTTACATATGTGGCTCACTTTTGTGGCTTGCATTATGCACTTATTGGACAGCATTGCTCTAGAGTGTTGGTTATTATCCCAGTAAAAATTAGTTATTTTTATTCATTACTTAAGAAAAAAATTGTTTTGACAGTAACAAAAACTGTTCCAAAGAATTTAAGAATTCTTGTTCTAAAGTCTGACAAAGATGACACAAAAAGAAAAGAAAAAAAGGGAATTTATGTGGACTACTTTTAATATTCCCAAAGCTACTTTAAAATTCAATATTTTGTATTGGCATGTATTCACATACTAATTATGGAAAAATAACATGCTTATTCCTGCACTGGAGAATGTTGAAATGTTAATATAATTACAAGGGCGTATGTACCTTCAGGCTTTAGCATCTTGATTTTGCTCATCTTTTAGACAAATGGGAAATGGTTTTTGAAAGATTAAAACTGATTTTATATATTTGAACTTTATAGCTGTGGTGTTATTTCCACATTAAGAAATCAGGAAGAAGGAGCTGTAGATAAGAACTATTGTACTTTGTTAGATTGTCTTTGCTCCTGGGGACAAGTGGGACGTATTCTGGAGCTCATTTACGATTGGTTGCCAGAGGAACAGTCCCAAAGCAAGGTACACTTGTGCAATGTTTCTTTAAAAATTTGGTGAATGAGGATAACTGTGTGTTAGCAATTATTTGTTTTTCTAGGAACATTTTTTTTTTCTAACTCAAGATAATTTTTCTATTGTTGTTGAAAATATACACAGCAAAATGTACACCAATCCAACAGTTTCTACTTGTACAATTTGTGACATTGATTACATTCTTTAAGTTGTGCAACCATTCTTACCCTCCTTTTCCGAATTGTTCCTCCCTCATTAACATAAACTCACTGCCCCCTAAGCTTCCTATCTAACCTTTCAAGTTGCTGTTGTCAATTTGATCCCATATAGATAGTTCTTTAAAAAAGCAGAGTGCCAAAGGCAGACATTCTTTACTAATTAAGCTAAATAATTTTTTGGTTGGAAGAAGACTTCAGGAAATGTGTATTTATTTATAATTTATTTTGTTGTTGAGAATATACACCAATTCAACAATTTGCTGTTTAACAGCAGAACATACACCAATTCAACAGTTTCTGCACGTACAATTCAGTGACATTGATTACATTCTTCAAGTTGAGCAACCATTCTCATCCCCCTTTTCCTTTTCCTCCTCCATTAACATAATCTCACTGCCCCCTAAGGTTCCTGTCTAATCTTTTGAGTTGCTTCCATATAGATAGATCTTAAAAGAGCACAATGTTCAGGGCAGATATTCTTACTCGTTAAGCTAAACTATTTTTTGGTTTTAAGAAGACTTCAGGGGATATTTTTGGTTCAAAGTTTAAAGATTATCTCAGGGCAGTGGTTTCAGGGGTTCATCCAGCCTCCATGGCTCCAGAAAATCTGGATTCCATGAGAATGTGAAATTCTATTCTGCGTTTTTCTAGGAACATGTTTTAACTATCAATTTATCCTCCTTTCTTTCAGAGTAATTCAGCTTCTAAACGTAAAGTGCAAATTCATGATACACGCCCAATAAAACCTGAATTAGCCTTAGTTTACATAGAGTATTTGCTGACTCATTCAAAGAATCGAGAATGCTTGCTATCTGCTCCCAGAAAGAAACTGAACCATCTTCTGAAAGCACTTGACACATCAAAGGTAACTTTATGGAACATGTATGGATGCCTTGAAAATTGAGTATGGATGCCTTGAAAATTGAGTAATTCCCTATAATAGTAGGAAGGATAAAGTGAGATTTAAATTTTACATATTTATAGTACTATAAAACTTTTAGAACCGGGGTGGGATTGAAAGTTTTCTGGTCTACTTCCTTCAATTTGTAGGCAAGAACACTCACATAGGTGACTTAACCAGTAGTGGCAACATTGGGACTTAGTGTTAAAATTTCCTCACTTTGGTCTTTCTAATAAGCAGTGTTCACAGCTCAGTGTCTTTTGTCAAATCTAATTAGGGAAATAGGATTTAGGTGTATAATCCATGTTTCTCAGATCTTGTTAATCGGCAGTAAAACTACTTGTTAAATAGAAATTCTCTTGTTCTGCTCCTACCTGTTAATATAGAAATACTAGCTTCCCTGCAAAGTCTTTGGCAACTTTTTCTAGGAATCTCTGGAGAATTTTTCTTGTGATTCCACAAACGCAGTGTTCTCTGCTACCAGGTGGAATTCACCCTTTTCTTTCTCTCTGTTCTGGCTTTCTCCCCTCATCTCCTTCAGAAGCCAGCCATGCTGAAACAACCTGTGATCACTGCTGTTATTAAGAGTTTGGTTGTGCCCAAGGCAAAGCAAGCTATGCATCAGAGCCCTGCCTTGAGGTGTGGAGGGAAAGGGGTTGGAGGTCTGGGGAAGGAGATTGCCGGTAAAGGGCCGTTTTTGTTGACTGTGGTCTTGAATTTAAAGTGATCCTAATTATCATGATTGTGCTTTTTTTCAGGCCCATTCAGCTACTCATGTTCAGGCATGAATAGGCAGAGATTTGGGCTCACCAGAGTTAGGCTTTTGGCAGTGAACTATGTTGGTTGGTAGTGGTGACTAAGCTGGATGCCTGCCATGGTTGTATAAGTCTGTTTCTCCAGTGTACTGCTTTCTTGGAGGAAGGGCTGACTGAAGGTTCTAGGTAAAATGGGTAGGTGTATACACAGTCAGGCCTTTCTGATGGCCTGTTATTTCTCACTAGGGGCACAACTGGTATTCCCATTGCCAGGTGTTCAGCTACTAACCAAAAAGGTCGGCAGTTCAAATCTACCAGCCACTCCTTGGAAACCCTATGGAGCAGTTCTACTCTGCCCTATAGGGTTACTATGAGTCAGAATCAACTCAACAGCAACAGGTTTGTTTGTTTGTTTGTTTTTTCTGGTTTATAGGACAGAGTAGAAGTACCCTGTAAAAACGGCATGGGGGCAGTATCTGACGCCCTCCAACCCCACAAGGTGGAAGAAGAACCAAGATCAACAGTGCAAGGCTGACTCCCGTGAGGTGGAGGCCAGACAAGCCTCCTCTCTCTGCCATCTTTACTAATTCTGACACCAACCATCCTTGCCACAGCACTCTCTACTTCTCTACTGGGTTCAATAATTCATTGCAATGGACGCGCAGAACTTACAGACCATACTCACGGCTATGGGGTTTATTAGAGAAGTAACAGTTACACTTCAGGCTCAGGAACACTCAAGATACAGTTCTTCCATCAGGACAGCCTCTCCCCAGCTGCGCTTGCAGGCACACCTCTTCCTGGCCCTCAGTCTCTGCCCACAGGCACTTAACTTTCTCTCTCCGTGGGCCAGGAAGCCTAGCTTACCGTCTCCTGCTGCCAGGTCTCTCCTGCTGGTCTCTCCTTCCTTGGTGGTGGTAGGATCCTCCTTTCTGCTCTGGAATTGGTTCTCTTTTAAGGCAAAACTGACCAATCCCTTTGGTGGGCCACAATTACCCTATTACATAGTTCCTCCCAATCACCTTGGTGGGAGTTACAAGACCATGGCAGGAAAGGCCTCACACAAAAGTAATTAATCACATCGCATGCCCCATAGGGTTTCCAAGGCTGTAATCTTTACGGAAGCAGACTGCCACATCTTTCTCCTGCCCAGCAGCCGTTGGGTTCTAACCACCGACCTTTTGGTTAGCAGCCAAATGCTTAACCACTGCGCCGCCAGGGCCCCTACAGTTTGGTATTACCACTCATTAAATGCTGAAGGTTCCCCCATCCTACACTGTGATTACCAACAACAACAAAAAACCCACTCCACACATTTCCAAACACTGTGATACTATTCCTGTTGTAGGGTCTGTGATTAGGGAGAAGGCAGCAAGCAGGAGGATCTCAGAGGTGCCAAAATAAGGTGAATTTTAGTCTGGTGCAGAAGAGTGCTCTGGTTATTTCATTCCTTGGTTGAAGCTGCCTTCCTTTTTTTTTTTTCCTGATATGTCCTGACAGGGCTCTGATTTTTCAGGCCCTAGCACCCTCATTCAGAATTATCCTGGAGAAGAAGCTTTAAAATATGTGCTCATCCTAGTGGCTCCCTTATTTTATATTCAGTGTTATTATTGATTCATCCTTAAACAATAACTCATAAAAGTATTTTTATTTGCCCTTAGGAAGGAGGATATGTACGGTAGGTGAGATAGGGAAGATACTTTAAATTTTCAAAAAGCTTTGACTCTGTTATTAAATTCACCTCAGTTGCTCTACTTTTTGGTATTAAAATTGCAATCTTAGGTACTTCAGATTGTACTCACCATGATGGAATGTTGTGGTGACTTATTAATCAGAATAGGACCCTTGCATTTTTTCATCTCGCAGGTAGATCTAGAATCAATTTTGCAGTCACCCTGTGAAAACCCCCCTAACTTCAGTCAAGCAACAGCCCTGCAAGCTTTCAGTCTCCATTGTCGACTGAGTGTTCATCTTCAGCACAAGGTGAGCTTTATTTTCTGTTTCTATATTAGATTAAGAATAATACTGCTATTGTTTTCATTGTTAATTTCTCTTTTTTTGTGGTCATTGGACAGTTTTGCTCAGAAGAAAAAGTTTATCTGTCCATTTTGGAAGACACTGGATTTTGGTTAGAAAACAAAGTTTTATCTATTATCCAAGAGCAAGAAGAAGAATATTTGAAGCTTCATAGGGTCATTTATCAGCAAATCATCCAGGTTAGAAGTCTTGAGACACAGAAACCTTTCTCTTTAGCAAGTTTATTATGTGCTTCAAGATTTTATTTTCTATTTTAAATTTGTTATTTTAGACATTAATTTTTCTCTTCTTAAATACAGAACAGTGGCATTTAAATGTCTAGAATTTATCTTTTTGCAAAGCATAAACTGCACAATTTTAATGTAATTTTATACGTTACATGTAATAGATGTTCATAATGTTTGTGGAATTGCATAATATATGTTTCTAGATTTCCTGTAGAAATAAAAATGAGAATTAATGTACTTCTATGGAAATTCCTTTATAAAACATCTTTATAAATATCTGCTCTTATGAGACAACTAGTACATCAAATATTAGAAGCTTTACCAAGCTGGATTTTTTTCTTTCTTTCTCTTTTTTTTTTTTAATGGCCATTGTTGATATATCCCCTCAGTACATTTGTTTCTTTTGCAGACCTATCTGACTGTGTGTAAAGATGTGGTGATGGTTGGCCTTGGTAATTGTAAATTTCAGTTACAACTTTTACAACGAAGTCTTAGAATCATGCAAACAGGTATACTTCATTTATTAAAGGACTATTTTATAGCAATTAGTATTCAAAACCAGTCCCTCTCTTCTTTCCTCTCTGCCTCTCTCTCACTCTCCCCCCGCTTCCTGCCTTCTTTTCACTCTTTCTCCCCCCCTCCCTCCCTGTCTCGCATTCTCCCTCCCTCTCATCCTCCTTCCCGTACATCCTTTGCTGCTCAGGACTCTAGTATTTAAGTGAAAGGTAGGTAAGGCAAACTAGCTTATGCCAAGAAAGGAATTTATCAACTGATGCAACCAGGAATTTCAGAGATGTTTCTGGCATCAGACATGGATAAATTCAGAGTTTCTGATGATATCCTTGGAGTTGTACTTCTCTCTATAGTTTGTTTATTATCGGACAGACTTTCTTCATGTACTAGGCAAGATGCCCAATGGAGGTCTTGAGCCTATCTCCTTATTCAGAAAGGAGAGACCATCTCTCTTCTGGCATTCAGAACACATCTCACAGGCGAGTTCTCCCTGCTTCTGTCCTGGTCATGGGCTCCTGTTAGGGGGTGGGAGGTGAGTTACGAGTTCTTATTTAATGCCCTACTAGGATCACATGGGAAGTTACTGTTACCTTAAGGAAAGGGGTGTTGGCAGACCACAGTAGCATGTTCACAGTAGCAACTTATGTTCCCACAAGTTTTCTTTAAAATACCTTAAGTATCTATTAAGAATGAGTGGTATTCTGGTCTCACCCCTTTGGGAGCAAGGGAGAATGAAAAGAACAGGATACAAGGAAAAGATTAGTCCAGAGGACTAATGGACCACAGCTACCAAGGCCTCCACCAGACTGAGTCCAGGACAGCTAGATGGTGCCCGGCTACCACCACTGACTGCTCTGACTGGGGTCACAACAGAGGGTTCTGGACAGAGCTGGAGAAGGATGTAGAACAAAATTCTAACACAAAAAAAGACCAGATTTACTGGCCTGACAGAGACTGGAGAAACCTCGAGAGCATGGCCCCCGGACATGCTTTCAGCTCAGTGGTGAAGTCACTCCCGAGGTTCACCGTTCAGCCGGGGATTGGACAGCTCCATAAAACAAAACGGGACTAATGAGGCACAACAGTCCAGGGACAAGGACTAGAAGGCAGAGGGGACAGGAAAGGTGGTAATCAGGAACACAAGGTTGAGTAAGGACAGTGTTGACTTGTAGTGGGGCTCTTAATCATTGTCATAGGGCAATATGTGTACTAACTGTTTAATGAGAAACTCTTTTGTTCTATAAACCTTCATCTAAAGTGAGAATAGCAGCATAACTGGAAGAACGTAATCAACGTAATTGAACTGTGCATGTAGAAATTTTTGAAATGGTGTATCTTTGGCTATGTATATTTTCACCAAAAAAAATAGAATGAGTGGTATTTATAGTCATACCTTCTTTAAATGGAGAGCTTTATGTAGTAGGACTAGGAGAAAAGTTTGTTTCTTTCAGCTGTGTTAAGCAGGTAAGAAGGACTAATAAGAGTGTTTAAGTTTGCTACATAGATTAAAATTTGTTCAAGGAATAAATGAAAAGTCAGCCTTCTTCCATGTGGTCTGGTGGGGCTGAGAGGAAGTCAGCACCTGAGCCATTATTGTTGACTGATTCCCTTGAGCAGTATATGAATGGATCCTGAGGGCCAGGTCCCTGCAGCCCCTATCAGATGGATGGTAGGGAGGAGTATGTGGGGAGATATGACACAGGAAAGCATCTGCATCCTGGAAGGCATTTCCATATCTTCTTTGCCCTTCTGAGAACAGATTGTGGCAAAGAAGAGTAAATTATTTTTATTATACATATTTATTCTACAGTTCATTTCTTCTGAGAGCTATAGAAACTTGAAAAATTAATATTTAAATTTCTTTAAGCCTAGATATTTGCTAAAAGAAATTGAAAATTATTTGATAGAATCATTTAGTAAATTCAACATTAAGTTTTGAAAATTAGATTCATTAAGTTCATAGTTAAATTTATAGTTAATCCTCTGTGGTCGTATTCCCAGTCTTAAATAGCTTCACGGTAGACTATAGAGGAGGCTTTTTGTCTCTTAGCATGCTCAGCCAGAGTCTTTCTTTTTCATGGTTCTGCTGCTAAAGTTGGTGCTTGACTACATGGGAGCTAGGATGTTGGTCACTCTCCTCTAGTGGTTACACATCCTTAAATTAATCTTTAATTATAAATGAAAGTATACAGTGTTTAAAATATCCAAGTTAAGTATAAACATTATTTATTTTGAAGTTTAGCCTTTATTCTTTGTGTAATCCTTTGTTAACTCTCACTTTCTATTGTGAAAACAGCATTTTAGACTTAAGAGTTAATGATCAAAAAAAAGCAAATATTTTTTAATGTTTTAACTTTATCATTTAGGGATTATTTTCCCCTAAGGACTGAATCTATTTTTAGTATTTATAAAATTTACTTTTATGAGGAGCTAATTAGAATTTTAGATTTCCATTGCAGCTGGTTTCATCACATAGGGGTATCTATTCACGCAAAATAAGACCCTGAGCTACTGACTTTACCTGTTACCAAACTGAAATGATGTTTGTATTTCGGCATTCCAATAATCAGGATTTCCCAGGATAGAATCAACTATGTGGTTATTCTTTTTCAGTCTTGTTACAATATATCATAGGATTATATCTGGCAATGTAGCTAGGTAGACTTGGACTCTGTTCTCTGGGTTTTTTGCCCTACTTGAAAGAGCCCTAGAAAACAGTTTTAATTAAAAGGAATAGTGCACATTTATATTATTAATATTTGAGTATGGTATTGTGTATGCTGAAGTGGGTACTAAAGAATACAGCTGAGTCCCCTTGTATAACCCAAATGTAAAAATCCAAACCCACAAAAATGTAGGTGTTTCTGCTATAACACAAAAGGTGTGTTTTGGGAAAAAAAAACATGCATTCTGCAAAATTAGACACTAAAAATAACAGCTTGTGTGAAAAGGTTTGGGGCGGACTACTAAACTCTGTGCTGTGTAATAGAGCATTAAGAAAATAAATAAAATTAAAGAATACCAGCACCATGGAAAAAGAATCTTATATTTCTAATAAATAAATATAATAGTAAATACAGGATTTTGTCGTAAACCAACACTCCCTCTGCATTATACTGATAATCACGCCCGTATATACCAATTGCTTATGAACTAATTCACTTTAAAGAAGCAAGTGTTACAGCAGACTGACAACGTTATAAAACTTTCAGAATCAGTGTTTTCAATTTTATAGTTTTGTGAATTCTGACATTTTAAAAATTTGTCTTATTTTACTTAACTAGTATCTGTATGTATTTGGTTATAGGGCACAATTAAAATTTTTAACTTTTCAGATTTTTGTCATTAAGCACAGATACTAGTTCTGTGTGTGGTTCTCCCACGTCAACACCTTCCCCTGTGCCAGACCCTCTTGTTTGTCAGGATCCTTTAATATTCAGTGGTGCATCATCTTTCTCTGATTTGTTAGCACTTTCCCTTTAAATAGCTCAGCATTCTGTTATCTCCTGTTGCACTGATTGGCAGTTTTTCAGATGACCTACATATGTGAAGAATTTATGTCTTTGACTTCTTTTAAGTAAAAGAGAGTAATTCCCTTTGAAAGTCCCTGTTTTTTAATGATTTTACAAAGTTTCTGTTGATGCTCGTAGAGCCGTAGACCTTTTCGGGGTAGATTTAACTGGAGTGTAACAATTTATTTTACTTACTTTAGCAGGTAAATTTGGGTTTTGGGTTAGTTTCTTATTTTTGTCTCAAACAGGGCTTACTCTACTTAATAATCTGTCTTATAAACCAAAGTACTTAGCCTACTGTCTCCATTTCCTATATAAGGTCATATGATTACTATCACCTATTTGTCACCTAGATAATCTCTTAATGAAGAGCATTATTTTTTGCTTATAAATTTTCTTTTTCATATTACAATTTTTTTTTTTGATGTGTAGTATAAGATAGACTCATACAGCATGGTTCCAACCCAGGAAGAGTGTACTGTGTAGATGGGGAGGCAGTCTATACACACACCCCCACTGCTTAATTAACGTCTGAGGCAGAATGAAGTGTCCAACGAGAGGTACAAGAACATGTCTTAAATGTTAAAGAAGCTCAATGGAGGGCAAGATCACTGTGGGCTTAATTCATAAAATACCATGTTTTTGATAATGGGTGTTTTTATTACTATGACTTTTTATACCTTAATTTACAAACAAGGTTGGTTGGAAACGACAATGAAAATTCAAGAGCTCAAGGATGAATTATCTAACTGGGCTTAAATTCAGTAATAAATTTTGCGAAATCAATGTAGCACAGTGAAGGAGATGATTCAGAAGAGAAAGATAACCACAGACCCCTACAGAGTGTTAGGGATTTAAGTCAGCCTGAGGGACCCTCACAGCATGTTGTGACACATCTTAGGCCGTGGCTGTCGTTTTTGTGATAACAGATGTGGTTGTCGATTTGACTGTTATGTGAGAAAATAGAACCCCTTCTTTAACTCAGGTGTTGAAGGAGTCACACTGTTAAATTGCTGTCTGTTCACATGTGAAAGTGAACGCAGTTCTTAGTGTAGTAAGTGAGTAAGATACACTATTACTGTTTTTGAAGATATTGGGCATTGGTCTTACATTTAAGTGGAACAAAAGTTTTATTTATTTTTGTAGCATTTAAATGAATCTGATCAACTGTTTTTGTGTGTGTTTTGGATTTTTTTTTTTTTTTTTTTGTATTGGCTTGTCAGTAATACCATACTCTTAAGCTACCATCATACGCATGTTAGTGAAAAATGCATGATAATTTCGGCTAATTGCATGACAAGATAACTGATATTTCCAATTTTCTTTCTAGTGAAGGGATTTTTTTATGTTTCATTACTTCTTGGCATTCTGAAAGAGATAACTGGAAGTTCCTTAAATCAGAAACCAGATTCAAATGAAGAAGTTGTAACACTTTTTGACGCAGTTCAGAAAGTATTTCAGAATATGTTGGAATGTATTGCACGGGGCTTCAAAAAGCAACCAGAAGAAGGCCTGCGGGTATTTACCATTTTTATGTAATATAATTAATTAAATGAAAATGACTCATTTGATAGAAATATGATTCAATTCCATGACCTAAAGTATATTGAAATAATGTCTACTTAAATAAAGTTTAAGTTAGCTTTCACTTATAACGTTAGGCTGTTGTATGAAATGCGATTATGGTGTAAGGAATAATTCCTTTATGTCATCATTTCAGGTAGTGCTTTCCAATCTATTTCATAACATGGCACACTTAGAAAAAATGGTAATATTTGTACTTGTGGTTGGAAGCAAAAGAGGGCCAAGAGGTCTAGCTGTTCTAAACTCTACCCGCCTGCCCTGAAGACCAAGGAGGTGCATATCTTTGTCAGTCTCTGACCAGTTTTTTACTAGTACAGCTTAACAAACCAGAAGTGAGAGGGTACATCTAATGGGCTAATGGGTGTTAAATTATTATTGGACAGAATTTTCCAAATAAGATATAGTTTTGAGGATGCTAATTTTGCTTATTTGTAGAGTCTAGGCTTGAGTTTAGGAGCTCTGCTGGCACAATAGTTAAAGCACTTGGCTGCTAACCAAAAGGTCAGCAGTTCAAACCTACCATCGGCTTCACAGTAGAAAAGACCTGACAATCTGCTCCTGTAAAGATTACAGCCTAGGAAACCCAATGGAGCAGTTCTCTCTGTCTATAGGGTCACTATGAGTTGGAATCCACGCAGCAATAACAACAGGCTTCAGTTTAACACAGACTTTCCACAGATGAAATGTTAATTAACCTTCTCCTAATTGGAAGTGATAGTCACAGAGCTTGAAAGGGCTCCTATGGTTTGCCTTTGCTGATTGAAAGCTGATGTGAATTTATTATTAAGTAACGTGAACTTATTATTGTGTAACCAGTTCATATAAAAATATTGACCTGTTTGTCAGATATGCTTATACTCCTCAAAGTGTCTTGTAAATTCCTGAAGAAAGTCATATTGTCATTATAGCCATTATCTTTTTTAAGTAATTGTTTAAACATATGAATGAGCTATTCTTTTTTGATGAGGATTTTTTTAAACGCTTAACCAGGAAGTTTGTTTATGAAATATTGAAGACTGTCAACTTTATTCTTTGCTGATAGAGGTAATTGAAGATTGTTGACTATATTTCCCCTAGCCTAGCTCATGGTGGAGTTAATTTGAAAGGGTTTTGTTTCTGTTTAATTGTTTTAAGAGTCTGTCATCTGTCTTTGTAATGTAATTTGGGCCAACTTCTGTTTTTTCACCAAATCTTCTACTGTTGGCTATGTAACTTTATTCAGAATGCATTGCCTCATAGTTGAGGTCTTATTTTAATATAATTGATATTTCTTCATGCTCACTTTTCCTTCTTCCCTTCTTTCTTTCTTTTTTTTTAATACTGTTTTTTGAGGAGTTTTTTTGTTGTTTTGTTTTGGGGGAAAGAATGTTTATATCGATAGTTACCAGTGGGCTTTAGTCATTTCTTTCTTCTTCTAGCCATGGTGCTTCTGAGATTTGAATCAGCTTGAATGCCACAGCAAAAAGGAAAGCGGTGGGCACTGGTAATGGGCAAATGAGATGAATTAATACTTGAATCCTGGGAGGGGACAGGAATGATCATTCTTAAAGTTTGTTTGTTTTTTTAACTATGACTTTTAGCTCCACCAGAATGACTAATCTGTTTTGTTGTAGCTACTTTATTCTGTTCAGACACCTCTGCATGAGTTTATTACCACCATTCAGTCTTGGCACATGAATAAGCCCGTTCACCGGGGAGTGCTTTCTACTCTGATTGCTGCACCGGTGGTGGAGATAAGTCACAAACTGCGAAAGGTAAATATGTTGACTGTGAAATTACCGTGTAGTTCTTTTCTCTTTTTGACTCTATAAGATTCTATATTCTACTAGGGTGTTTTTAAGTTTTTCAAGTATTTTCTAAGAACTCAAAGTTGAGTGAAACCGTTTTTGAAGTGATATTTTTTTCTAGCAACTGTACCTCAAAGTTTAATAACTAATTTTTTTTTAGGGGGCCCTAGTGGTGGAGTGGTTAAGCACCTGGCTGCTAACCAAAAGGTCAGCAGTTCAAATCCATCAGCAGCTCCTTGGAAAGCCTATGGGGGCAGTTCTACTCTGCCCTATAGGGTTGCTGTGAGTCGAAATTGACTCAACGGTAACGGGTTAATGGGTACCTCAAAGTTTAATAGCTAATTTGTATTTTAGAGTCTTATGACCATTGTGAAAAATATTTTAAGGTCGTCATCACTTATGATTAAAACCAAACTAGTCCTTACATTGTGAACATTTCTTTTTGCTATATTATAGAGAATTAAATGAGTTGATAGATTTCTTAAGATTTCTTTATCCTGAAAAGATAATAGCAGTCGTGATGAGCAGAATACCAGACTGTACTCTTCAACTGTATTTTTTTGAATATTTCATATTTGTTTGATTGCCTTGCTATATTATCAGTCTTTTTTTTAATTTAGTTTTTGCTTTTTCTAAGCATAAGGATTTAGAACTTCTGATACCAGTTTAAACAGTTAATTTGTTCATAAATTTATAAAGAATCAAGTTTGGTTTTTGGTGTTGGCTCTTATTTTCCTAGCAGTATCCATAGATAAATGGAAGATAATTGCTGTTATTAAAGGAATTGTTAGCCTATTTGGTTAAAGATGGACGTAATCAAGAGGATAAACCTGGTGCCATCAAGTCAATTCCGACTCATAACGACCCTAGAGGGCAGAGTAGAACTGCCCTATAGGATTTCCAAGGAGCATCTAGTGGATTCAAACTGCCGACCTTTTGGTTAGCAGTAGAGCTCTTAACCACTGCACCACCAGGGCTACATCAGGAGGGTAAGTCAGGCCAAATCAAAAAGCTCTTACTACATGGAATACTCAGGGTACTCTTTTCCTCTTTGCCTCTGAGATATAATTGAACCAAGGGGACGGAGTAGTGATTTTTGAAGATAGTAAAAATGGTGATAGGTTTTCTGTGTTAAAAAATAAAATCTGACAGGGGATATGACTGAATTATATAAATTTATATGGGTAAGTTATAAATTTTATATTATGAAATCATGAATATGAAAAGATGTTAACTAAATTCTAAAACATTAAATAGAATTTAAGATCCTCCTTAAAGCTTGAAGGGAGGTTGTTGTGATTTAGTAACATAAGTACTAGATTATACATAGTATAAAGATTAGGATTTATTTAGTCCTATAAGCTGTATAGCTAACAGTTATAAATAAATAAATGGTTTAGACCAGGGCAATTTAAGGCCTCCAGGCCAAATCTGGCCTGCCACCTGTTTTTATATATGAAGTTTTATTGGAACACAGCCACATCCATTTATTTATTACCTATGACTGATTTGGTGCTATAACAGCAGAGTTGAATAGTTGCAACACAGACAGTATGACCTGATAAGCCTAATATATTTACTGTCTGACCCTTTACAAAAAAAATCTGCTGATCCCTGGTTTAGACAAATGCAGAAGTGTTAGATCCATGATGATTTCTTATGGGGAAGCAAATAATTGGCTACCTTTTGAGTGTCAACAGTAATAAGGTAAAAATGCCCTTTGTTCTAAACTGTTTACAACTGTTTAATTTTATACATTCATATTTTAGATTTTGGAAATATGTTCATTTTTATAGACAATCTTTTTTATTGTACATTAAGGGAAAGTTTACAGTTCAAGTTAGTTTCTCATACAAAAATTTATACACACATTGTTAAGTCACCCTAGTTTCTCTCCCTGTAATGTGACAGCACACTCCTCCTTTCCACCAGGATTTCCTGTGTCCATTCAACCAGCTCCTGACCCCCTTTGCCTTCTCATCTCACCTCCAGACAGGAGCTGCCCATTTAGTCTCATGTATCTACTTGAGCTAAGAAGCACTCTCATCATTTTTTGTCTTATAGCCCAGTCTAATCTTTGTCTGAAGAATTGACTTCAGGAATGATTTCAGTCCTGGGCTAACAGAGAGTCTGGGGGCCATGTCTTCCAGGGTCCCTTCAGTCTCAGTCAGACCATTAAGTCTAGTGTTTTTACTAGAATTTGCGTTCTGCACCCCACTTTTCTCACGCTCCATCAGGGACTCTGTATTGTTTCCCTGTCAGGGCAGTTATTGGTGGTAGCCCGGAACCATCTAATTCTTCTGGTCTCAAGCTGATGGTGTCTCTGGTTTATGTGGCCCTCTCTGTCTCTGGGGCTAATATTTTCCATGTGTCTTTGGTGTTCTTCATTCTCCTTTGCTCCAGGTGGGTTGGGACCAATGGATGCATCTTAGATGGCCGCTCGCTAGCTTTGAAGACCCCACATGGCACTCACCAAAATGGGATGCAGAACATTTTCTTAATAAACTTCATTATACCAATTGGCCTAGATGTCCCCTGAAACCATGGTCCTCAGACCCCTGCCCCTGCTGCTCTGTCCCTCGAAGTGTTTGGTTGTGTTCAGGAAAATTCTTAGCTTTTGGTTTAGTCCAGTTGTGCTGACTTCCCCTGTAACCTAAGATAATTCTTATCTACTTTCCAGTTAGTGAATACCCCTCTCTCTCCCTCCCCACCCTCATAACCAGCAAAGAATGTTTTCTTCTACGTTTAAACCTTTTCTTGAGTTCTTATAATAGTGGACTCATACAATTTTGTTTTTTATGTCTATGACTAATTTCACTCAGCATAATGACTTCCAGCTTTATGCATGTTATGTTTTGCAGATTCATTGTTGTTCATTATTGTTGTGTAGTATTCCATTGTGTGAATATACCATAATTTGTTTATCCATTTGTCTGTTGATGGGCACTTAGGTTGTTTTCATCTTTTGGCTATTGTGAACAGTGCTGCAGTGAACATGGATGTGCATGTATCTATTCCTGTGACGGCTCTTATTTTCTAGGATATATTCCAAGAAGTGGGATTGCTGGATTGTATGGTACTTCTATTTCTAGCTTTTTAAGAAAGCACCAAATCGATTTCCAGCGTGGTCGTACCATTCTGCATTCCCACCAACAGTGTATAAGTGTTCCAGTCTCTCTCTAACCTCTCCAACATTTATTATCTTGTGTGTTTTGGATTAATTCTAGCCTTGTTGAGGTGAGATGGTATCTCATTGTAGTTTTTGTTTGTATTTCTCTAACAGCTAATGATCATGAGCGTTTCCTCATGTATCTGGTAGCCGCCTGAATGTCTTCTTTGGTGA